AGGCAACGTAGAGAAAACACAAAAAACCCCCAAAATATTAACTTTTCTTTTCTGGGTTTTTATTTTTTCAAACAAGCCTTTTTTTCTTTCCTTTTTCATTATCATCATCTTTATGCAATAACCTACAATTCAATTTCTATCTCAAAAAGAAGGCAAAATAATAATAATAATAATAATAATAAATTCCCCCTTCTCTCTCTCTCTCTCTCCCCCTCTGTTTTTTTTTTAAATAAAAATAAAAATAATGATATGATCCTGTCAAGCGAGAAGAAAATCTCTCCTTTCAAGAAACATAGTTGTGGGTTTTGTTAGAAATTCAGTTTTAAATAATGGGTGATCTTCAAGTTTGTGGCCTTCCAACTGAAAACGGCCATCTTCACCACCACCACCACCATCACCATAACGATCATGATCAGCACCATCGCCTTCTGGGTTCGGGTCAAGACCCGGTTTCTCCTTCTTCTTCGAATCCGGATCCCAGGTCAATTGTTGAAGAGAATTGGGAGAGAGCAGAGGAAGTTGCGGCAGAGATTGTTTATAGAATACACCCAACTGTAGAATCCAGTTTCAAGAGGAAACAAGTTATTGATTATGTTCAAAGACTCATCAGATACTCTCTTGGGTTCGAGGTATTTTTTCTTAAACAACCCCTTTCTCTTGCTTATTCTTTCTTTTTGTTTTTTCATTTTTTTTAGTGGTTTTGTGATGTGGGTCTTTTTTGTTAATTTTTTTTTTTGGCGTTAATGTGGTTTATTTTGCAGATTAGTGGTGTTAATGTAGTTATTTTACCTTGAAAAATACCTTATTTTTTTTTTAATTTCTTTTTTTGGTGCCTGGAGGAACAGGGTTACAATTTCTTTTAATGTGTTCGCATTGAGAAAATTAAGCTGTAATAGTGAAAATTTAGGTTATTGAAGTGTATGGAGTAGTGATGGTATAAAATGTTTTTAGGTTTGGGGGTTGTAGTTAGTGATGGGGCTGTTGGGGATTTAATGTTTCTAAGGATTGGATAATGGAGGTTAGGGTGAGAAATATTTTTGTGTCTTAAGTGGTTTATGAGTACGAGCTCTTTGCAAAGTAAATTTCCAGAGGTATGCGTCTGTTTTGCTCCCAGTTAACTGGGGTTTTGCTGGCGAATAGCTGTAATGTACGGTATAAGTACGAGTGTTCATTTATGTGGCAGGGTGATCCTGGTATCAATAGAACCTGGATAGTAGTTAGTAGTTGGAAATGGTCTGTTCAGGTTTTGATTTTGATATCATTTCTGAAGCTTAATTTGGAGGGGTTTTTGTTGAGATAAATCACACTCATTATGTCAACTTTGGTATCTGCCTGTTCAATCATGATCACATTCTGCAACTGTTTTCCAAAATATACTCTGTTTTATAACAAAATTACAGAGAAAAAACACAAAACATATGATTACTCTTTGAATGTGAAAATTGAGTTATATTAGTCACAATCAGGATCTTGATGTGCACAGGATAATGATGTTACAAAAAGTGTGTTTGGATATTCTAGTTGGTGATGTGGTGTTCTAATAATTTGAAGATGGAGCTTAGACTGAGCATTCATAGTGGAGAGATGGAGACCAATTTTGTGCTTATGTATGATTTGTGATTAGAAGTATGAAGCAAGATTAGGTGGTTTATGAGTGTGAGCCCTCTATAAGGTAATTTATTTTAATCTGATCAACTCAAAACCATGATTAATTAGGTGGTTTATGAGTGTGAGCCCTTTATAAGGTAATTTATTTTAATCTGATCAACTCAAAACCATGATTAATTAGGTGGTTTATGAGTGTGAGCCCTTTATAAGGTAATTTATTTTAATCTGATCAACTCAAAACCATGATTAATTAGGTGGTTTATGAGTGTGAGCCCTTTATAAGGTAATTTATTTTAATCTGATCAACTCAAAACCATGATTAATATAATTCTTAGGGCAGGAATGGACACATTTTGAGTTTTATATGGTTGATCAATTATTATGAATTGTATTCCAAAAATAGGTGGATAATTAGTATGAGCTCATTGCAGAGTAAGTTTCTCAGCAACGTGATCAATGTTGAAGTGGATTCTTATCATGATGATTAGGTTGAAGAAATAGATTTTCATTTTTGTGTGAGGCTAGCTGGAGTTTTACTGGTTGATTGGTTGTCATGTCCACCATTAGTACAGGTGTTAGCTGATGTGGTAGATAGGTCCCAGGTCACTTAAAACTTGATGTTTTAGCAGTTGTGATGGCATTGTGATAGTTCCGGTTTTGGTCCTGATTCCCAAAGCGTAAATTGAAAGGGATGAGTGGAGGTTTTAATAATTGATGGAAATGTTATCACATTTCTAACTTGTCTCAGTTAAGCATCACCCATTAAGCTAAGATTGGCATCTGGCTGTTCGACTGTAATCACATTCTGCAACTAGTTTCCATAAACTCCTGTTCTGGTGCCATTAATTAATAAATAGGATTTACAGTTAATTTTCAATGAAGTGGATATAAATTGAAGTCATGGCCTTTTCTGATTCGTTCTTTCTTATAGGTGTTCCCATATGGGTCAGTTCCTTTAAAGACATATCTCCCTGATGGGGATATTGACTTGACTGCCATTAGCAGTCCTGTCCTTGAGGAAGCTTTGGTCTCTGATGTTTATACTGTTCTAAGAGGAGAAGAGCTGAATGAGGATGCCCTGTATGAAGTGAAGGATGTCCATTGCATTGATGCCGAGGTTCTTCTCACTTTGATGCCTTATTTTTATTCCAGTTTTCATTAGACTAAAGGAGAAGAACTAATATTGTTTTTGCAGAAAGAATATTCTAGTCCCTTCCTTTGTTCCTCCACTTCTGGTTGATTTTGGGTTTTTGCTGGCAGGTTAAGCTTATAAAATGTGTTGTACAGAATACGGTGGTAGATATTTCCTTCAATCAATTGGGAGGACTTTGTACCCTATGCTTTCTTGAAAAGGTATGAATCTTGACACCGTGAGGATTCTGGATGAATTGATTTGTTTGTTGTTTAGTTGCGGCATTGAGTCCATGGATTTTTCTGTTGCATTTATTTTAGGAAAGACAAGTCTGAGTTAATTTATATCTTCAAGCACCATGGCTCTGTTGTAGTGCCTTGCTCTCTGATCAAATAATGGATCAAAGTTTACAAGGGCTGTGAAATACGATTTTGGTCAAGTTTTTATTTTCATAAGTTGGCATTTGTAATATAACTTGTTGTGCAGGTTGATCGGCTCGTTGGAAAAAACCACCTCTTCAAGCGCAGCATCATTCTGATCAAAGCTTGGTGCTATTATGAGAGTCGTATTCTTGGTGCCCATCATGGTTTGATTTCAACATATGCTTTGGAAACGCTAATTCTGTACATCTTCCATCTATTTCACTCTTCCTTAAACGGGCCTTTGGCGGTAAGATTTATAGGACTTAACATGGCAGATTTCACTTGTGCATTCTCAATTTTAATATTGCAGTGTGAACAGTGTTTCCCTGAGTGCAAAATCACAGCATTGTATGCATTCATGAGTCATTGAATATGCTTGCATTTTGTGTAGGTTCTCTACAAATTTTTGGATTACTTCAGCAAGTTTGACTGGGAGAATTATTGTATTAGTTTAAATGGACCAGTCTGCAAATCTTCCCTTCCCAATATTGTTGGTGAGATACTTACTGTATTAGTTCTAATGGACCAGTTTTTGATGCTATAGATTGTTTGCTGGATTCATATTTGTCTTTTGCTTCTCTCTTTTTATGCAGCTAAGCCACCTGAAAATGTGAGCGGTGAATTATTGCTGAGTGATGAATTTCTCAAAGATTGTGTGGATAGGTTCTATGTCCCGTCAAGAAAGCCTGAGATGAATTCACGGCCTTTTCCCCAAAAGCATCTTAATATAGTTGATCCTTTGAAGGAAAATAATAACCTTGGGCGCAGTGTCAACAGAGGTTTGGGGCTTTCTCCTTTTCTGTTTTCATTATTAGCCTGACACAAAAAGAAAGAATTATTGTATTCACTGATATACCTGACCTTGGATATGGCCTTTTCTTTTCTTTATAATGAAAGAGTAATATCTTAAGGAAAGTTAAAACCCAGTAGTTCTAATTTAAACTGTCTTTCTGCTGATTGTGGCATTATTTAATGGCTTCAATAAGACCACAAATAGAATTAGCATCACTCCCTTTGTTAGCAACACACTGACCCCTCCATTGTTAGCACCACCTCCTCCACTGCTGTAGTTGAACCCTTCTTCCCTGTTGACTACCGTGTGCTGCCTAGCCACCTTAGTTTCTTTTTTTGTGCTGACTGATGGTGTAATGCCTGTTCTGCACTGTGGTGTAAAATCAAAGTTGTTTATGATGTGCTAAAGGATAAGGGGATTCTGCATGGTTTAATAAATGACACTTTGTTCAGGGCCTGTTTGTTTGTATTCAGAGCCCAAATAAATGGGCACATAACATGTTTTGTGTTATTCCATGCCAATGGTTATCCTGTGGGTTTTTTGCAGGTAATTTCTTTCGAATAAGGAGTGCCTTCAAATATGGGGGTCGCAAGCTTGGCCGAATTCTTTTGTTACCCAGAGAGAAAATAGCTGATGAGCTCAAAACATTCTTTGCAAATACTTTGGATAGGCATGGAAGTGACTATTGGAGTGGTGTGCAAAATTCTGAATTAGCATCTGTTGCTAGAAGTTCTGATAATTCAGTTTCACTGTCATCGCATTCTGATACATGCTCTGAAGACAATACACGTCTGAAATCCACTGATGGCTATGATAAGGATACATTATTTTCTGAAAAATCTGATCATACTTCTCAAGTCCATCACCCCGGCCTATCTGGTGAAAATGGAAGAATTAAAAATGGCATCTCCTGTAGAGAAATGCTTATAAATTCTGGAACCGAGGATGGAATGAGCTGCACTGTAGGGTCTGAACCTAAACAGAATCATTTTGTGAATAGCAATTTAGTCTGTTCATGTACTAAGCTTGAGGGAATAGCTCCATCTGCTTCAACAACCCCCAATTCTGCTGAAAGTGGCCCAGAGAACCTATCACCTACTCTTGGAGGAAAATACTTTGCTGGCATTCCTAGAAACTCCCAACCTTTGAAATCCTTGTTGGGCCTCAGAGGGGATCACAATGACCACTTACGAAGTTTGGCATACAGTCAGTATTGCCATATGTATGCTGTATCTGCACCTATACCACCCTGTCCTTCCATGTCACCTCAGTCAGAGAAGAATAATGGTTGGGAAACTGTTCGACAGTCCCTACAGTTGAAGCGGAATGGTCATTCTCAAATGAACACGAACCATATTTATGGAACACAATTCTATTGTGTTAACCCAGTGGCACCAGTTAGAGCTGCTACAAATTCTGAAGAAAAGAAGGAACGACGAGGAACAGGAACATACATTCCCAACATGGTATTTCCATATAACTGTTAGGTTTTGTGGCATTTATGCTCTTTCTTTTATAATTATCATCATATTCCTCTTTTATTTATTTGGACTCCAGGTCTCATAGTTTTTCTTATGATTTTGCAGAGCTATCACGCATATATGGGGGATAGGCTGTACTCGGGAAAAGGAAGGACTCAGGCACTAGTGAATCATGGTCAGTTGTATAAACATGCCCATGAAAATGATTTGCCTACAACTTCGCAGGAGAAGAATTTGTCTGAACATGGCCATGATCTTTCTGAGGCTGAGTACCCACATCTTGGTAATGGGAAGCCTATGCCACCAGATGCTCACCACTCTTACCCTTCTGCATGGGGATCTTCCAACGCCTATAGCTCCTCCCGTGCATCAGTGAGAACTGATTGTGGATCTCAGGGCCTTCAGCATCCTGAAGGGCTTCCATCCTCATCAGATTTGGGCACATCGTACTCTGGGGCCTCAGCTACAAGCCCTGTCGCATCAGTGGTCGAGGACCCTGACTCAATTTTGGAAACTGAGCAAGAAAGGTAAATAGCCTTACCTAGAATCTATAAATTTTCAATATTTTATTTTTGTTTCTATTTTTTGTAGAAAATGAGCAAGAAAGGATGATAATTTAGATCTTCTTTGTTTGATGGAAAATGTTTTTTTGGAAAGCATTTTCATGACTTTCTCTTGTTTGGTTACATTTTGGAAAACTGGTCCACAAAATTCACTTTCCGATCCGATCAAAGAAAAACATAAGTTTTAGTTGAAGGAAAGTGTTTCACCGTTTAAAGTAGAACACTTCATTATATATATATTATTAAAAAATAATAACTTACACTATTAAATATATTAATTTGACATATTAGTGTGTATAATTCTTTAATTTAGATAATATTTCTAGAAAATACATTAGAATACAGAACATGTTATATTATACAATAATCATATATATTAAATCATATAAATTGTGTTATAAGAATAGGATACCATAAAAAATAAATTTATTTTCAATGTTCTCCAAAGAAAATGTTTGATAAAAATAAAAATTCTACTATTTTAAAAAATTTAAATAAATCAAAATGTATTATTTTCGAAGTATGGTACAAATAAAACATTGGAAAGTAATTCATTTCCATGGAAATCTTTTTTCCAAAAGGAATCCACTTTGTGGCAAACAAATGAGGCCTTAAGGGCGCTTCACTCTCTCTTTATCTATATATTGTAGAAGGGTACTCTGTATTAATACCTCAGCATTTGGATTCTAGGGCTTTGTTGCAGCAATATCATCTTAAAGACGATGTTGATTTTCCTCCTCTGACTCATAAGGATTTGTGAAACATAGATTAACGGAAGACAGTGAGCGTAACTATAGATTCTAATGACTATCCGAGATTGGGTGAAGACTCCTGGTTTGCTCCTCTTCTTGCGCTTCTGTTTGGAGGTTGCGGTCATTATGATGTACAAAATGACCTTTCTCCATCCACCGTTTTGGTTTGCGACACCGAGTGCATGTATCAACTAGCTGCTGTTTGCTCCGATTTTATGTTTCCATCTAAATGCTTGTAGGATATGGAGGTAGTCTAACAGAAGAGGTTTGTGTAGATATATTTTCAGCGAGCATAGAAACACCGAATGCCGGTTGTTGCTTTTTTCTTGGTACACAGCAGCACTAGCCCTGTACCAAATATTGAGAAGAACAACAAAGAATCGAGTGGACTCGAGTAATTAGACACCAGTGTTTTCCTTTGACTTCATCATAACTCATGAAGGTGTGCATTGTGGAGCTAAATCCTCAGAGTGTTGAAAATCTCCCAAATGTGCAGTTAAAATCCCTCGGAGCTTGGTGTCATCATGATGTTCAGAATGATCACTCTCACCCACGGGCTGATGTCCAGCAGTATGTTTGACTCTTGAGTTTTTTTTTGGGGGTAATTTTCCATCAAGAGCCTGTAGAATCCACAGGTGGTCCAATGTTTAGATCAACAGAACCTGATTTGGTCGTAAAAAACCAAGTTCATGTAAAATTTTGTATTTAGATCTTTTTTATCCTTTTGAATTCAACGGTAAGGAGTATTCTTGAACGCTGAACAACTTCTCGAACCATTGACAATTTAAAAGGTAGAAAAAGAGTTCAACCAAAACCAAGAGCTCAGGTGCGCTCGCTTTCATCCAATGAAAGATCAGACGGCAGTGATAGACCCTATCATCACCAGGAGCGCAGGAGTCGTCACCGCTCGTGATTGCACCAGCCGGGAATCGAACCCGGGTCTGTACCGTGGCAGGGTACTATTCTACCACTAGACCACTGGTGCTTGTTGATTCTCTTCCCCACTATAGAATATCAGTATAAGATGTAGGCCACACATCCTCACAAAGAATCTCTTTCCCGCCATCTTTTGGAAGAATGATAACGGTTTCATAACCGCAAACGGTGCGTTTCTTACATTGTATGGCTATGTTCCTATTATCTAATTATTTAATTAGAATAAGTTTATGGATGTAATTAATCTTATTAAATAATTTATTTCGATGTATACTGAATTGATATACTTTATGAACTTTAAATCAAGTAAAAATATCTATAAATAAAATATATAGTATCACAAATAACAATACCAAACATAATTGTTTTTCATTATAAAACCCTCAAAAATAAACAATAAAAAAAAATATATGTAAAATGCTATGCATATATAACATAAAAAATCTAACTTGCTCTTACAAACAATTATTACAATATAATGAAGAGTTGAAAAGTTATAAATAAACCAAACAACAACATCAAATATGATGAAGAGGTCATCAAAGTATATATAAATCAATATTGAAAAAAATAATGTCAAATGACATTATACTGCAAAATTCATAAAGTCAAAAAACACTCTATATAGGTTAATTTTTAATACCAAAAATGTATAAATATAATAAAAGAATTAATCACGAAAAAAATAAAAAATTTTCTAAAAAGATGTACTATGTAAATACGCTAGAACTCTATTTTTTAAAGGTTGGTTTAAATACTTAAAATCAAGACATTACATTAAGATATATCATTACTTTTAAAAAAGCAAATAAGTTGATATGGACCTCGTGGGGAGAAACTTGTAGTCCATAAAAGAGAAAAACTATATCAATTTCTCATAAAACATTTTTCAATATGAATGGAATAAGATTGTTTTATAAACTATAACCAAATCATTCTCTTGCAATAAAACAACTTAAGCTAATAAATAAGGCCAAAAAATACTTGTATTTGTAATTTGTTGTAATGGGGATGGTTTTGAGAAAATTTATTTATGGTTCATATTGACAAGCATGTCAAACCACAGTGTTTCAAGAATTTGAACTTGAATAGTACAAAGAACTACGAGTATCATGCCAATAAATGAACTTGGATGATTGAGATTTTATTCCGAGAAAAATAGATGGTAAAAAAGTTCAAATGAACTCAATATTTCTCAAACCTTTACTAGTTTTTGAAAAATATTGATTCATTTTTCTTACCTCGCAACATAACATAAAAAATTTAGCTTTGTGATGTGGGGATCATACAAGCTTTTAAGATGTGTTATTGTCATTGATTTTATCAAAAAAATTTGAAGAGTTATGAAATTAAAATCCCAAATTCAAAGAAGATAAATATTTTAGATGCAATGAATCTTACAACCTCGACTTGGAGAACAAATGTTCAAGTAAGTACAATTAAAAATTATTTTTGACATTATAAAGTTATGGATAATATAGCTTTAAAAAATCTAGATCTATATTTAGATGATAAAGTGTTCAACAACTATATATTCTAATCACAAGGTTGAAGTATCTTAATATAATGAATGTTGAATACCTTTTGAACTACCTAGGAGAAAACAAGGTAACTTCATAGTTGTTGAGTGATAAGTAAATTATTGAGAATATCATAGAAAATGACAAAGAAGATAAAGTTGAAGATGATAGTTCTGTATTCAATCCTGTTTCGCCCAAAAATACACTCAGAAGAACAATCACATTGCATAATTTTCTCTTACAATACAAAAACGCTACACCAAAGCTTATTGATGCACTAAGAAAAATAAAAAAATGAGGTTTAAAGCAAGGTTGTCAAAAATATTTTTTTGACATGACATGGAACATACAATATAAACTCGAATCGTAAAATTATAAAATCACAAGTAAAATATTTTAACTAAATTGCAAGATCCAATCAAATAGTAAATAATAATATAACACAATTAAAATAAAAGTAAAATAAATAATACAAATGTTCAAACACCTTAAAATACATAATTTAAATAAAAAATTATATATATCCATAACAGTTCATTAACTAAAAGTTAACAAACCTAAAACAAACAATTTGTTAGTGTGTTATGTAAACTAAACAAGTCTCATTGCCTTTATCTTTCTCATTATTCCTAAAACATTCATTAAAATCATTATCATCTAGAAAATAATTACTGCTATTTTTAGTACCAGCACCAATGTTATGAACATTATTGCTACTACTAATACCAACACCAATATCAATATTATCAACAATATTTAACTACAAGTTCCTAGAATTATCTAGATTGATACCATTCTGAATTTCTAAATCATCTTCAATTTTATGACACTTCATTTTAGCATCATTAAGATTTTTTTTCCTATTATCACTCTTATTTTTTTTCATGGTGCACTATTGATGACACCAAGCAGATTAAAGTTTGATGAACTATCATGTTTCTCTCTTTCGGTTATCCAATCATCATTAGATGAGAGATGATAAAAAACTTCACCAAAATTATTAGTTAGCTTTTTGACTTGGTTATCATTTAATTTCAGGTTGCACATTACAAATACCAAGTCATTCATTTTTTTCTAGTACAAATGATATCTTTATTTTTTATAAACCTATATAAGCAATTCAAATTGATAACAAATAAGATTCTTATCAAATATAAAAACATTAAAAGAAAAAAGAAAAAACTTACCATCTCAAATGCACTCTAGTTCCACTCGCATCTAGATGAACTACAAGTCAAGTTTAGAACTTGAATTGTAAATTTTCCATCAGATATTATTAAGTAACCTGTTTTTTTTTTTTCATTTTAAATTGTACTCCTCAAAGAAGTTCATCGTGTGATCTACTTTTTGCTTCAAATGTTTCTCTCTAATATCATGGTAAGATGAAGGCTTAAAACTTGACCCATGCTTTGCAACCAATTCAAGAGCCTTAACAAATTCAAAGTTTTTCACACAATTAAATACAATAACACTAGTGTAGAAAAATCTTGCAATTTATCGACATGTTTCTTCTCTAAGTTTTTTTTTTAGCAGCTGATTAATGGTGGTTTGTGTGCTTCCACTCCCACTTGCCACTCTCTTTCCTTTGTCCACTGAGGTAATTTTATTCCCTTCATCATTATCCTTTTCTTTTCCATTATATTAGAAAACCTTTCTTTTCTTCTTAGTTGCTTCTTGATTTTTCACCAAAATATTCAAAATCATCTCCTGATACTTGTTGGCATAACTTAACATCATTTCGAGTGCAAGTCAAATCATGCTTGAAACAATAAATGCCTCCACTGATAATTTTCTAACAATACTTACACTAAACTCTTCTTGAATTTTTATCAACGTCTATACCATATTGTTATCCCACATCAAGTCTACATTTTAGATGCCATGTATCCTGTAGTTCAAGAATCAATATATGAATCAATAATTACAAATATTTTTGCATGTTGAATGCCAATTCTAAAAACAGAACAAAATATAATAAATGAAGAGCATGCATATTATATATATGGGATGTTGATAAGAATTCTGCAAATTATCTGTTGACAACAACAATTCTAGACAAATACCAAGACCATACTTTGCTGGAACCAGAAGGAATATTTAAGAAAGTCTAAATGAAAAATCATGCAAAACATATTCATACAATGTAAGAAATAAAATAAAACATTAACTAGGATAATTAAGACTTCAACCAAAAAGCAGAGATACAACCAACATATAAACCCCAGGAAAAAAACACACAGAACATGTAAGAAAGGAAATAATCTCATAGCCCAGTATGTTTGTAGATAAAAAAAATACACCAAGCAAGGTATTTTTAATTTACCATAAATATCTAAATCAAATTCTGGAAAAAATTGACATGAAAAGGCTAAGAAATAAGAAAAAAAACTAAGAAAATTAAAAAAAAAAACAATAGAACTCAACTACTAACAACTCAACTAAGTTAGAAAAGAGATTAGACAACCATTAATATAACAACCTGGTCAGAATCAAACTAACAATCTAATCTTAACATTCTATAATAAGCTTTTTTGCCTTATTCACTCAGTAAATTGACATAGATAAAAATCTAAAGTAGAGCAGATTTATGTGCAAGGCCTTCCTGATTCTACTGCTTCTCTTTTTTCAAATTATGAATATAGCTTTTCTAGTTTATGAATGAAAGCTATGTTTTCATATTAAAAAAAAAATCATTTGCACTTAAATTCATTAACTATTAGTTACATCTTTCTTAACAACAAAAGTAACTCTAGAAAATAGCCAGACTTTTTTATATGGTCGTACATGAAACCATAAGAATTAATCAAATATTATTAGAATACATGTTATTTCTAATGAATTAACTACAAATAAACCAATTAATTACCTTCCTCATCAACAAATCCTTTAGAAATCTTCATGCAGTAATGGACATGAATGAATGAAAAAAAAATTATAAAGATTTGCTAATTAATTTTACCATTTTAAAGTTATTTTTTTTAATTCTAAATGAACATCAAAAGCTCACATTTTTCACTTAAGATTCTGGTTTTCTGACTTAAAATACAAAATCACAAATTGTAAAGGAGTTTGGATCTTTTAGTAACTACATGTGAGGAAATGTAAATTTCAAAGCCGGTAGTATATCATATAATAAGATCAAGATTCAAGTCTGCTTGAATATACAACTCCTTTTAAGATTCATTTTTTTGGTCTTTGTATGAAGAAAAAAGACAAGAGGGGCTAGTGTATGACTTATACAATAAAGGAATTTCATTTCGGGAACCCGTTTATGAGACGACTATAGGTATAGACAAACATACCTGAAAAACTATTCCTTCACCACTTCAAAGAATAATGAAGACAAGATGCACGATTGAAATCATGTTTATGAAAGCAAATTATTCACATACTAGACGAGACAAAAAAATCACATACCAGACTGGATAAAGAAAAAATAAACAAATCTTCATATCACCAAGAACACTCTGGATCTCGATAGCAAGCAAAACCAACTGAGAGAGTGGAGACAATGCAGCTGATGAGTGGAGAGTGGAACTAAATCAACCGATTTCTTATTTGATTTTTCTTTTTTAGATTAACGTGGGTGTTCAGGTCAGCTTGCACGTACCACGACTAATCCCACAGGCCTTGAAGTTAATGACCATGTAAGCCTCTAGCGACCATCATATGAGCAACTAAGGAATCAAACCTGAGACCACAAAAAAAAACAAATCTCTTAGTCTCATTTTTTTACCACTAGGCCACCACCTAAATGATTCTCTTAATTTGATTTCTTAATTTGCTAAGTGCTGGGGGGGAAAGGGAAAAGAGGAAAAGGGAAGGGTGATCTGTCGAATATGTAAGTGGCTAACTCTTTCAAATTTAAAGTGAAATCATGATATTAGTACGTGTTTAATGTTTTTTATAAGTTTACTCGATTTTATGCGAGTTTGATCAAGTTTGATTGATTTTAATGATTTTTAAGTTTTAACCTAATTTTACATATTTTATATTTTTTTATTCATAAAATTATAGGATTTTACATGTCAAAACTTATTTGTAACAACTATGATAGTTTTAAAGATATAATAATTTTAAGAGAAACCAAGTAACATTGTAATCATATTTTACAAAAATTTCTTAATTAAATCATGTGCGTGTGTGTAATTTTGATGTATAAAGAAATATTATTAACTCAGGGAGGTTTTAATGTACTAGATTATTTTGAAGCAAGCACAATAGAATATCAGTGGTTTGACATTAATACATAATTATAATCAATTGTTGTTAATCAAAACCTTCATAAACTACTTTATTCTCCACCCATTACGAATGAACCAAACTTGGTGGTGGTGGTCACTCTAGCGAGGGGACAAGCTGTCACTGAGATGTGGCCCTCACTGCCATGGAAATGAATGAAACAGTGAAAAGTCGTCGATGGTGGCCACAGTAAACATGTCCTGTGCTTTTCTACAAGTCGCCAGCTAATGGCTGCTTGGCTATATGCATTTAATTAGTCATTTCATTCGTTTTCAACCCTTGGATCTTGCAACGTTTTTCTTGCCTAGTCTCCATTGTTCACAAGCACTTTGCATGTGCGAGGCCTCGTCGCTACATTTATTTAGCTAGTCTTCTTTTGTTATATATTTATATCATGAGTTTCAAGCCAGCAATCACTATATTATGATAATCTCAAAGCGAAGAATATTTTTTAAAATAATCATTATTATAATTCTAAACATACTATTGGTGTATTTGTCTACCCGGTCTAAACCTTGGCTGGCTGCAAAAAAAAAAAAAAAGCCCGTTTTCAAGGAATTGAAGAAATAATAATACAAATTCTGCTCGAATATGTTGCTGGAGCACATATATTATGCTGTATCCTATGCGGACTGAGCAAAACAGAACCTATTTTGTGCTTTATAATATTTGAAAAGAGGAATTTGATGTATTTAGTAAAATCTTAATAGCTAGGGGATAATCTAATGATCGTGGGGTAACATGGTGGGGATTTGTTGAAGATCATCCAATAATGCAAGAGGATAATGGCTAAAATAATTAAGTACCGATTAGAATTTCAGGCTAAGCTTGCTTTTCTCCCTTCTTCTTCTTCTTCTTCTTCTTCTGTTTTCCCCAAAACTTGAATGCAGTGTTTTTAATGATAAAAAATTCCTGAAATCAGTTTTAATGAATGCATAAAATAATAAAAATATATCAGAAAGAAGTTTACAAATAGCTTGATTTAGAGTGTTTATCTATGCGTTCAACTACTTTGTAAAATAATATATATATATATATATAGGAATTGTAAATACAAATGGTGGAAACTGCATGTGGAAAACGAGGTGTTCCTAAGTGATCTTCTCAGGTCACCGAAGTAAAAGAAGCAAGAAAAAAAGGTAAATGGTGAGGAAAAGTGCCGGTGGCGGTAGGCAGAGATACGCGGTCAATCAGACTGTTTAACGGGTGTGTAAGATGGTTGTGATAACGTTTGTTTTTAAAATGTATTTTATTTAAAAATATATAAAAATAATATATATATTTTTTAATTTTTAAAATCCATCTTCAACACCAGTAAAACAATAGAAAAACACCAACACTATAATTGAAATAAAAAAACAATTAAAATATAATTAAGAGAAAAGGACAATAATGTTGGCGACAGCAAGAAGTGTATATTTTTTTGATGATTAAAGCATCAGAAATAAATTAAATGGAAGAGGAAGGCAGGTCCACCATGACTAAAGGAACTGTTTAGAAACGGGAAGTGGAGAGAGGACTCTCTCCTGTCTTGCAATTGAAGAGCCCATCAAGAGTGAAAATGAGAGGCCATAATCACAGCCTTCTGTGAATCCATCACTAGCTGCTGCTACAGTGAAAATGAGACGGCGTGCAATGTCATTTCAAGATAGCTTTTGGAAACATAATTCAACCTGTATTTTCCCATATATAAGAGGAAACTCACTTATGACTTGTATAGAAGCAAAACCAACCCCCCCACTCTCTACCCAACATCTTAATATATATGATGCATTAAGTCCATTATTCCGTTAAAGTATGTTGATTTAATGAAAATAATTATGGGAAAATAATTGAGTCAATTTTATCCTTTTCAACCTGTTATCTCCTGTTATTTCTCTCATTCAAACTAAGTGAATCAATCTCGCACACAACTTAATATTATATTTAAAATGGTTTCTGAACTTTCTATATGAACATATGAGTCATGTACACAGTTACGTGATACATCCAATAATTTTCTTTTTAGAACAAGTCTCTCTCTATCTCTTTGAAGTCTCCCTCTCTCTCTTTATATATATATACACGAGCTCATATGAATAATGGGGCTATTGACTGAGAATTTTCTGAATCTTTGGAAACTAAATTGGGACCAAAAAAGATGTTCGAGGACTTAATTGACAACTCTTATATAATTGGGTGGTTGTTTGAGGTTTGCCTTGATTTTCGTGACTGCCTAAGATAAGCGTCGCCAAGAGATCATGGGTGCGTGTTGTGTTGTCATTTCATTCACCATAGCATCAAAGTCAAGCTTGCCATCTTCATCAATGATAAGGAGGAGGAATCTTTCTCCTTCACAATTCTCACCTCCTAAGAAAGAATAAGCTGCAAAACTCAATATCAAAACGTCATTTGTTGCCCATCTTTGTCTCCTTTCTTCTTCTTGTTCTTCTTCTTTTTTTGCCCCTTCTTTTAAAAAACAAGTATATATCTATATAATTAATCAGTTAATAATTTATTCATATCATGCTCACAAGACAAAGAATTCGGGTAGCGCTGGATTACAAAGAAGATAATGAAGATATATTTCTTTATCCTTTCCCCTTTCGAATAATATATAAAATTATTTTAAAACTGTTTTAAAAATAAATTTATTTTACGTCTATTTATTTTTCTTATATCAGAACACAACCATATTAAAACAGAAATAGAGCTAATTAATTGAATTTAAATATATCATTTCAATAGAAAGATAGTGGCATGATAGAAACTTCAAACCTAAAATGAGTTCCTGTATTATAAACAAATCCTAAAGCATGGCCGCTATTATATTGCATGCCCTTAAGATGCTGCCAACTCGCTTCATATAAGACAATACATAGGCCCCATGCTTACATATTTCCATGTAGTTTCTTCTTTAATCATCTACTACCTCCTTATTTATTTAGCACCTCTTGCGAAGAGGTTGCAATCACAGCCATCTCTTATAAAACATTTTTGCATTGTGGCTAGCTTTCTTCAGATTCTGTTCCCGAACTATATATTCTCTCATAAATTCATAATAATCTTTCAATATTTTTGGGGTTTCTTTACCATCCACAAATGTCTCCAACAAAACATGGCCACAGGTTCTTCAAATTCAGAATTAATTCCATCACTTTCTTATGTAAGAATTAATTATCCCGTATAATTCTTAATTTTGAGTGATAGATGAATCTATCCAATTACGTAAGTATTTTTTGCTTGCACTGCCCACTATCCCGGTTCGCAAACAGTAGCATTTGCTTTTCCAACCTCAAGAAAACTAGACAGCAACATTTTCCGTCACAATATGCCATAATATTCTCTAGTCAATTCTAAGGCCAAGCCACTATTTTTTTTTGTTTTTTTTTTTGTTTTCACTCCAAATGGTTGCCAAGAAGTACGACTTATTTTCAAATGGGGTTATAGAGATGGATTGGATCATGCTAAGGATATACTGCTCAAGACTCTTCTGGCTTCTCTTTCGTGTTTTCTCTTATGAAAACCATGAAGGAAAGCCTCGGATTTAGGGCACATCGATTTTTTGCTTAAAATTAGTTAGCTAGCTATATCTTCCCACGTACGTCAAAAAATCATTAGTCTCATCCTTTTCTTCTTTTTATTTCCATAAAGTTTCCAAAAGTTTTGGCTACAGCATAAGGATGTATAGAAAGCAAGGTCAAGACGTGCATACTTTCGATGAAACCAAAGGTGATCATGGCTATGCTGAAACTGATCCTACAGGCCGGTATGGTCGGGTAAGTTTTAGCCTTTACATCGTCACACATGCTCTACATATGTTTTTGTTGTCTTCTTTTTGGTTCTTATCTTATTGCACTTACTTGTACAAGTTGCCTTGATTCCCATAGCATTGAACAGAAGTAAAAGTCCTCCTGGTTGTACCTTCACCAAGTCTTGCCATGATTCACAATTCAGGATTACTTTGATGTTTAGCATATGTAATTGGCTTAACGGATCTGGATTGGCATGTACAAGATAAGATAGTTCCTTGAATGGGACAAAAAAAACATCAAGTGAAGTTGTCGTATTCTACTCCTTCCAGTTTTATGTGCCAAGTGTGTGTACATGGTTTGAAGAGGTTCAACATGATTGCATATAGTAATGAATTCTTTTTAGTTGTCGCACGTACATGTTTACAATGTTAATACATGAATCTCGATATTTTAATTGGGTTAGACGTCTTTTGTTTTAGTTAGAAAAAGTCACTGCCCTAATTAATCTTTGCTCATGTTAAATTTTGGTTTTCGTTATCCCCAGAAATTGATGATTTATTAATAAACTAGTTGGTGAAAAATATTGAATTGCTATTTTTTTTTTTCGTTGCAAAGACTGTGAGCTATGATTTTATGATTTGGCGGTTATTAGAGAGTAGAGACAATTATTATGAATGATGATGATGATTTGCACGTGTTTAATCCAAGATTTCGACTTAGTTTCTCCCTGGGAATGATTGATTGATTGATGGGATTACTGAAAAACGTATTAGGATCACTTATGACAAGAACTGGTTGTGTTTTACATGAATAGTTTGAAGAAGTTCTTGGCAAAGGAGCAATGAAAACAGTGTACAAGGCCATAGATGAATTCCTAGGAATAGAGGTGGCATGGAACCGGGTCAAACTCAATCAGGTACTTTGCTCACCAGATGATTTGCAGAGGCTTTACTCAGAAGTTCATCTGCTCAGCACCCTCAATCATGACTCCATCATCAAATTTTACACCTCTTGGATTGATGTTCGTCGAAAGACTTTTAACTTCATCACTGAAATGTTCACTTCAGGAACTCTTAGAGAGTAATTTCCTTCGCAATTCAAAATAGATTCTTTCTTTAACCTGATGTGTCTTATGCTATAATGTAATAACTATCTGCTATTTGGCAGATACCGCAAAAAATATAACCGTGTGAACATCCGAGCTATCAAGAAATGGGCTCGACAAATCTTGGAGGGCATCGTGTATCTACATGGCCATGATCCTCCAGTCATTCATCGAGACCTAAAATGTGACAACATCTTTGTCAATGGCCATCTCGGACAAGTCAAGATTGGTGATCTAGGTCTTGCGGCAATTCTTCGGGGTTCCCAATCAGCACACAGTGTCATAGGTGCTCATTTTTCCTACCTTAGTGCCTGGATTAATGTCTGTTCTGTTTCTGCTGACTATTATTATCATTACTATTTGGTGATCGCTAGGAACTCCGGAATTCATGGCACCAGAACTATATGAGGAGAATTATAATGAACTAGTTGATGTCTACTCGTTTGGCATGTGTGTGTTAGAGATGCTCACAAGCGAATACCCTTATAGTGAATGCACTAATCCAGCACAAATTTACAAGAAAGTCACATCGGTAAAATCTGGTTTCATATTAAGATTCATAATTTCTGATGAGCTAGAGTATGACCTGCATATTATTTTTGTTATGCAGGGGAAGTTACCAGCAGTGTTCCACCGGATTCAAGACTTGGAAGCTCAGCGGTTTATTGCAAAATGCTTAGTAACTGCTTCAAAGAGATTGTCAGCGAAAGAGCTACTGCTTGATCCGTTTCTTGGATCTGATGAAGCTGAACTGTCACATGTTCCAAGGTTCAGAAAACAGAAGCCATTTCTGAATGACAGGGAAATGGAGAAACTGCAGCTGAATGATCATCCCCCAAGGACAGACATGACGATCACAGGGAAGTTGAACCCTGAAGACGATACCATCTTTCTAAAAGTGCAAATTGCTAATGAAGATGGTAAGGGTCCAATTATCTCTTTTCAGGCAAACGTTTTACACATTTATTCTTCAGGAATTTTCTGTTTGTTTCTAAAAAGAAGGAAAAATATACGTAGATTTTGCCATCCTTATGTCAGTGTGGCTTTGATAGGCTCGGTAAACTGGTCAGTATTTGTGGATCAGCATTTATCTCATGTGCTTTCCCTTCATTGTTTTATTGCAGGAACTCTTAGGAACATATTCTTTCCTTTCGACATTTTACATGATACACCAATCGATGTTGCAATGGAGATGGTCAAGGAGCTTGAGATAGATGATTGGGAACCATTTGAAATTGCTGATATGATTGACGGGGAGATTTCAGCTCTGGTGCCGAATTGGAAGAAATGGGACTTACCTCATATTGAATCCCACCATACATTTGACTACCAAGAAGATGATGGGCATAATCATCCTTTCCACTCCTCCTCCTCATGTTCATCATCCCCTGCATCCCTATCAGGATTAATGCCACATTTGCTCCAAGGTATGTCTCCCAAGACGCATTACAGCTGACAGTTTGTGGTTTTGGTCTCGTAACCAGTATAGTAGGTTCCCATTTAAGCTACGCATCAGCTGCCTAACCAAAGAACCAGTTAGTGATTGCTTGGCTTAGGCTTGTCTAATCAAAATTAAGTAGGAATATCTCCCTTTTATACAGAGTACTTTCTTTTTAGAATATTGGAAATGCATATCTTGCTTTGAGCAGCTAGAGTCAAATGTCATTTCTATCTTCTCTAAAAAAGCTACAGGCAGAACAAACTAGGTATTCCATGTTCTTTCAGATAGGCAAATAGAATAACTAGTTAATGCGGAATATGCATGCTGGGACTTTGGGTTAATAATTTAAAATCACAATATCAATTGGAAACAATTGCTGTTGCAGATGATTTGTTTGATGATACCAGCTCTCAAAGCTCTTCACACTCGGGATCATATTCTTGCTTGAACTACGTATCTGGCGACGAGCACAAGTTTGATTTAAGCTCAACAAGGAGAGATAAACATCTGATCACAAAGACTCAAAATTCAACAAGATTCTGTCCTCAGGAAAATTCAAATTCTAATATTGGGCAGGTACTTGCTACAAACGCCTACAATCACTGCAAGGGTTTGCTAGAATCACAAACTAGAGCCTCAAGCTCTAAAAGCAAAAGGATGATGGACAGTCGTAGATTAACAAGGAACCGGTCACTGGTAGATATTCGTAGCCAGCTACTACACCGATCATTAGTGGAAGAAGTGCACAAGAGACGATTGTCCAAGACAGTAGGAGATGTAGAAGATGTTGGTTTTCAGAAACCTACTGAGGTTTGCAAAAAGACATCACAACGGACTTCGAGCAGAAGAACTTGAAAATTAGCCTTTGTGTATATCACAGATGAATAAGAGAGTTGATGATCTTGTTCCTGCAGAATGGAGCTATCAAGAAAATGCTTCAAGTACCAGCTAGATTACCCCTTACGCGGTAACTGTACAAACAACTAAATGAGGAAGCTTTGTCGGGCACCAATGTCAGTTAGTAGGGAAAATTCCCAGGTGAAAGGTAGAGTGCTAGATACATAGTCAGTGTAAATATGTACTGACATGTTTTGTGCTGTGTGAAACTAGCTGTATTTGCAATATAATTATGACTGCTTTCTTTTACTTGCAGCCATGGGCAAACATTATGCATTTATATTCGAAGTTCTTCTTTTCACGAAGTCTTAATTGCTTCCAGTTTTTCACATGTAAAACCCCATATGAAAATGTTTCAGGAAGCCTGCATGTAAAACCTTCATTTTAGGGCTAAACCTGAAAAGGGGATATCCTGATACAGAGATTTTAGACGGACTAAAAGAAACAACAGTTTCAACCATATGGTCATGTCATCAATAGTTACATGGATTGCTTGCCGGGATTTAATATTTTGTCAATATGGTGAAACAAGTGGAAGCAATGCATCACCGAAACCATATAATGCAGGACAGCATGCTGTGCTCTTTATGTCCATAATTGCAAGGCATTAACTGTGTAGATTTCACATTTGTGTACCATCTGCAGTGCTCGGTTGCTTGCCTTGAATTTTTACTGGGTGGATCCTGCCTGAATTATGATGCTCCCACTTTTTCTCAAAAGAGGTCGCATCGATAACTTCATTGGTAGAAAAGCATTTCTCTTGAGGTTTCTGACTTTGATACAAGTTGATGACAGCAAATACTTCTATATTGTTTTCTAACTTTAATCCAGCAGGATCTGATTGATGGGTTGGAAAATTCGAGTCCCTATATGTATTATGTATGAAAGTAACAAGTCCTGAGGAGGTGGTTTTTGCATGAGAAGAGACTCATCATGTGTGCAATCATGGGTAAGGCTCCCTAAGGGCCACTGGACAGTTAGTTTCCCCCCTCCCTAGCCTTCATGTGGTCCTCCTTGCTTCCTTCACAGACATACCTGGAATGTGAAATCTGGTGGTCCCTGTAGGTGATTCACAAGAATTCAGACCTTCCTCGGATCACAGATCTTCAGCTATCCTAGGCCTTTCTCGTGATGTAGTTTTTGGAAGAACTAAGCTTGCTAGCTACCGTAATGAATGTAGTTTCACTGTTGATGCTTGAGATTTTCCGCATAATTTTTCATTTAACTGTTGGATATATTGAATTTTTACTGGTAGATTTTAGAGGTTTTCTTTCCTGTAAAATTAAAATTTCCATAGTAATTATAAGCCGGGAAGACCTTTAAATAAAGCCTAGAAATTACAATTTAGAATTTGTTATATTTTAATAGTTGATTTAGAATTTTTATTATTATTTGATTTAAACCTTTTTTATAATTTTTTTAAAATTTGTTTAGGATTTTGTTCTAGTATATAAGCATATGTAAGATGAAGTTTTGATTAAAGAAAATATTGTAATAAAAATTCAAATTAGAATTTTTATGTGGTGACCTGTAATACACAATTCTATCATGTTTTTTATGGTTGTTGTTTTTCTTATGTTGTTTCCATCTATATTAGTTGTTATCAGAATTCAATAATTTCTAGTGGTTAGTTGTTGTATGTTATTGAATAATCATGATTGTAAGAGGTGGTTGCAAAACAAGACATGCTTATGAGGAGCAAATGAGAAAGTTCTCTCATGAAAAAGAGATTTTCAAAAATAGGTGATAGAAAACATGTATAGATAAATTGTGAAATTAACCCGTCAATTAGCGAAGATGAGGAACCTAAGGGATCATAAATCTATGTTAAGTCTTGAAAACTCATTTTAAAAGCCAGAGTAAAAAAGACAATCTCTTAACTAGGATGAGTATTGTTGATATTTAGAGTTTTAGATAAAAATCTTTCATATATATTAAATGATGTAGAAATGATTTTTTAGTATAAAAAGTTCAAGAGCAAATAAGAATGAAGCTAATCACCATCAAATTAAAAGTGCAAGCTTATGCTTTGTGAAAGTAATTGAAGAGGTCTAAAAAAAATAAGGCAAATAGAAAATTAGTAATTGAAAGAAGATGAAGAAGATGATGAAATATCATTTTTTTTTGGTATACTTAAACTTTATATCTATAAGACCCAAACTTTATAATTGAGTTTGGATTTTGACAACATAGTGAATATTATAGATTATTATTTTTATTTTAATTATTGATGAGAAGTTTTGAACTATCATTTGATTTCATTAGTTTTGATTAATATAATATTTTGAAAGATTATGAAATATTGTGTATTTAAAAAAAAAAACTTGTTCTTTTGAGATGTCCGTTCTAAAGCTTAGTATAGATAAGGTGTTCTTATGACACTGTTTTTGCATTGCTAATCATAGACCTGAGATTCAGATCATGACAATACCAATGACTTTATATATTAAGACAAGGTGAAAAAACTATTAATAAATACACTAACTGATGACTATGAATGATTTATAAAAAATGAAAGAGCATTTGGTTTGTAGGTATTAAGTGAATTATAGTAATCCAACCATGACTTACTTTGTTTACAATCTTTATCGACAATTTTCAAAGCCTATCAAAGAGCTTTGACTATAAAGAAACAACATTTAGTAGGAAATAATAAGTTGTCCGGGTAAATAGGAGAGGTGACTTTTGGTATGAATAGAAAATAAAGGGTGTGCACCAGTAAACAAAAATCAATCATTCAACCTAAATTAGTAGTAAAACAAACCATAAGTTAGGGTCCTAAATCTGGTTTTAAGTTTTCTTTTTTTAGTTATGGTGAGCCATGACATCAAATTTATGAGTGTTATAAGTTAGAAAATTTATTAGTAAAAAACTTGATGAGAAAACTAGTGATCATGCTTATAATGATTTAGATAATAGTGAAAAGGTTTTGCAAGGTGATGACGATGTTACCTTACTTATCCAAAATAGCTTGTTTGTTCCTAGAGATGATTCATGTGAAGATTGGTCACACATTAGTTTTTTCTATTCAACTTGTATAATTACGGACAATGTATGTAATATGGTGATTGACAATAGTGGTTGTGAACATATGGTGTTAATCAAAGCAGAAAAAAAGTTAAAACTCCGGATAAAAAACACCTCAAACCCTATAAATTGAATTGGTTAAATTAAGATAACAAGATAATTATAGATGAATACTTTTTTATTTTGTTTTTTACTGATAAGAAATATTTTAATAACTTTTTATGTGATGCGGTGTCTATGAATATGTTCATTTATTATTAAGAAGAATATGATAATATAATAAGAGTGTTGTATATGATAGATGATAAAAGCAAAAAGAATAATGTTGGCGTCTAGAAGAGAATGGGTAGTTGTTGAAAATAAATGTAAAAATATATTGTTTTTATCTAGTTATGAAAAAGAAAAAAATTAAAAAAAATGAAATAAATTGTGGAGAATCAAAATGAAATGAGAAAGGTTGTGGTTTGAAGTCGGTCACTAATGGTAAATAATGATTTTGTAAAAAAAAAGGAGTATTTTAAGAATTGATTTTTAATCTATTTTATCTAAATTAACTAATTATATTGACAAAGTTCTAATTTGATGATTGAATTAAACTAAAGTTTTTTAAAAAATTCTAAAAATCTTGTTTTATATTAAAATTTCATAACCATTTGAAATCTGAAAAACCTTTAAATATAATCTAAAAGCTTTTACTTTTATATATATATATATAACCTTTTTTATGACAAGTTTCCTTGGGTATAAGTGATCTACAAAAACTGTAATATGGAGTCTTGATGAAAGAAAATACAGGGTAATAAAAATTTGAATTAAAGTTGATGTACAATGACTCTGTTGGACACAATTCTATTTTATTATTTCTCTGCTTGCTGTCGTTTTTTATGTTATTTCTAAAAAAACATGCTAAGGAAATTACTAATTTACTTCGTAGTATTCAATCTTACGGTTTACACTTCAACTATTACTCTGACCTAAATTTACCAGCTCATTTCCCGATCACAACTGCAAGCTATTCCTCCCGTGACCCCTCGGTTCTCGTTTCTCTTCTGATGGGACTAGCCATTCCAAACATGTGAAAAAATGAGTAGAAAGAGATGGTAAATTGGGTAAGAAAGCTAGAGAAATTTGAAGGGCAATTGCTGCTGCTAGGGCTATACTAGTTGATTGTGGCTGTAACTCTACTGAGAAGCAATGCATCCCTGTCATTTTTGGATGGTGCCTTCCCTTTTTCCAGGTTTTAGATCCATCTACAGAGAAAGATAATGCTAAAATCTGTACTTCATGATGTTTTCAGAACTTAAAAATCTTCGGCAAATCTGCATACCAATCGACCTGCTGGCCTACAACCCTCATGTTGCAATTCTACATTTCCAAGAACCACCACTTTCAGCAGCATAACTAAACAACAAAGGGACAGAAACTTGTCACCAAACTGGCTATCTTATACCTACGAAAGGTAACATAAGAAATTGTAGGGGTGAAAAACTGGTGGTCCTGTTTTACCTTAAATTGCCTATGAAGCAACTTTCTGCTAAAAAGGGTGCAATAATTGTTACATTAGTGAAAATGTCGGTCCTTCCATGCTATAACAAATCTGCCACCGGAGGCACAAGACTACCAGTATGTGATAGGATTGTAATAATTCCTATCTTAGGTTAAACTTTTTCCCATACGAAAAACCAGCTCATAATCCTTTCTATCTGGACCTGTGTAGGAAAGCAATGGCAAGTCTGGAATGGAGATCTGAAAGCAGGAATACGCAGTTTACAGCTGTGTCACCATTTTTCTGTTTCTCTCTCTTGGAAATACAGATTTTCAAACTGTGTTTGGCGTTGTAGTAGTTTTTGCGGTTGTACGATTTAAGAAAAGCTACGAATTATAACTTTTTCTTAAAATTTCAAGAGAGAATTTCGAGCAAAACTACGGTATATATTCATTAACCAAATACTTTTAAATTTGTAGTTGGATCGCACCACATCACAGAAACAAGCGGAGCCTAAGAGCTGTCACAGTTGCAAATTAATTACAAAGTTAATATATGTGAATGTTAGCAATCAAGTCAATGATGTTAATTATGTTTAGTTGCATGATAAAGGTTTTGCTCAAGTTAATTATGAAGGTATTCTTTGCCAAATACAAATTGATCGCACTCGACTAATCTTGTTTAATGTTGTTGTCCATCTATATGGAAAGTCTTGTCTATTCAAAGTCAACATTTACCTCAACCATGTCTCAAGCTCAAAAAGCTCATGCTCATGCAGTTGGAAATCATAATATTACTGATGCTCACTTTGTCCTTCATCATGATCCATAAGCTTGCATTTCAACTCATTGTTTTCTTCAGAAAACCTGGTATCAACCGGAGCAGGTTGTGACATGTCAAAATTTTCTTTTTAGTTTACTCTGACAGAAACAGAACTCAGGTTTTGTTGTCAGTCATGAACTTGATGGTTTTGCTTGGGCTTAGTAACTGTGAATTGGGAAGGAATCAAAGATTCTTTAGGTACATTTTCCTGGTAAAAACTCTTTAAAAATCAACTACATATTGAAGAAATTCTCCATGATTAAACCAACAATTCTAAGCAGAGAATATAAATTTTAATTAAAGCACTAGCATTTAATTACAGCATCATATTATTCATGCATCTGATAATCTAACAAGACTTTACAATTACAAGTGAAGGTCAGTCATGTCAAACCAGATTTGCTCAAATGCCTTGACAATGATATAATGGTATTCTTTTGAATTGAGAGAAAGGTAGCAAGCAAGAAGGTCTTCCAAATCTTTTGAACCTCGGATATTTTTCTCCACAATCATCTCCATCATTGAATCCTTGAAGTCTCTCTGTGGATCAACTGAGAATTTAACCACTGCAAAGCTCTCTGAAAGGGTCTTGTTTCTTGACAATGACACACTTTTTCGAGCACAACCCTGAATTTTCCTGCTTGCAATTCTCGGAGTATTTGCTCGGAGTTTTATCCCTTTTGCCGAATTCACCGAGGACTTTCTTGTAGGAGGATTCATCTTTTTCTCTTTATAAGTCCTAATGCTTTTCTCCTTGAAAATCTTGACAGAGAGAGACCTACGTGATTTGACCTCCTCCAATTTGGATGAACTTCTTCTGAACTTAGCAACTTCGTTGTCGTTGAATTTCTCAGGCTTGGTCAGTATAGGAGGAAGGTTTAGCTCAGGGAGCCTACCAAACCCTTCAACCTCCTTAATTTTCCTTTCATAGGATTCTTCATTCATATCAATGATAATGTCAGTGGTTGAAGAGCTAACATTACAGTTACAAGAGCTAGACCAGGAGCCTAAATGATGATCAATTGAATCAGGAACAAGAAAACCATCATCTTCATCAGATTCTGATAGGAAGTCAAGCTCATCATAAGAGCTCTCAACAGGAGAGCTAGAGCAGTCAGGTGAATCACCTGGAATAAACCCGGTCAGGTTCGAGTTAACTGCAACGCGACAGCTACAATCAGCAGAGAATGTGGACACCAGTTTTGGAGAAGGCTTGTAAATGGTTTTTCTTTTGTTTCTTCTATTGGATGATTTTCTTGGTGGCTCAGGGAAATGAGTATCTGAGGCTTTTGGATTTGCAGGTGAATAGTAATCTAATTTCTCAGCTGTTTCAGGTTCTGTGGTGAAGTAATAAGAGTATCTTTGATAAGAAATGTTGGGTTTTTGTGATGTTACAGTTCCTGGAGGTGGTTTTTTCTTGGAAGCTCGAGAGGTGTAACGCTTTCTGCTTTTGCTCATGTCCTTGAGCTTGTAAAACCAGGCGTTTGGTATCATATCTGATAATCTAAACCTGTAATTACCCATTTTTCTTTCCCTCTCTGAGATTTTTCTGAGTTGGTTTACCTTTCCCTCTCTTTGATTACTGAAAAGATATAAAGAGCTTACAAAGTTTGGGTTATAAAAGGTAAAGAATAGACGGGGGCTCACTAGAAAAATGTTCAGCATGAAAGCAAGGTGTGTTCCTCTTCCATCATAACCACTAACAGAATTACAAATAAGATTTTTTTTTTTTTTGGATTAGACAAACGTAATCAGGATTTGTTATGCATAATGATCTCCAAAATTCAACTTTACTAAAAGAAACTGAGGGCCTGAAAACATTGGCTAAAGTTTAGTCAGTGAATCACTCGTACCATTTTATATACACTCCTGTGGCCAGTAGCCAATAAATCGCTGGAACTTGAAGATTTGTGAGAACACCTCATCTTTGGCTCAGCCAAATCAAGGGTTAAGAGAGAGTAATGATGATTTTAGCATTAATCAAGGCCCATGTCTACTAAGTGCTGTGTTCTTTTCCATAATTTCATGTTTCACAAATGATGATATTCCGTGTCTTTTCAACTTGATTTCACAATGCCCACATGCCTGGTGCTGCACATTCAGTTTCTGGTCCTAGTCCCCTACCAAGCACTTTATAGGTTTTTCACTTCTCTTTTCCCAGTTGAGGATGAAATTGCATTTCTCCAAGCTGATGGATTCCGATACAGCAACAGGTGAAGGGAGGTCAATCACATGCTGGTTTCGTCTGAGGCACACCTAATTCTGGCTATTGAGTTTAGGAACTAGGCTGTGCTACTGTGGACCAAATACAGTTAGCAATAATTTAGGAATCATATATGTTAAGGATCACAACAATTATTTCATCAACCTTCTGAAAAATTCCTCAAGAAAAAAAGAAAAAAACTTCGTCAAGTATAAAATTTCTTATTCTGATATATTTAAGACATTCTCTCTTTACCGGGGACTGGAAGTTAATGGCATTCAAGCGTTCAACAAATGGTTTTTTAGCAAGAGTTGCTGATTGCGCTGCCACCTTGACATCCATTGTAAGAGCAGCAACTATAAAGCTAGTGTCCAACAACTTTTCTGGACTCAGAGGCCTAGACTAGATAGAAAATTTGGTTTCATGGCTCTACTAGAATTCGACTGTGAATGAAACCAGAAGAAGCACAGCCCAGATTGAGGATGGCCTTTGTGAGAAGCAATTGGAGTCTCAATGTATATGGTTTTGGGGCTTTAGGAGCTAGATTTTAGCCCAAAGAGAGCACCGGCCACCAAGGACAAGGTTGTCTTGGACTTTAGCTTTATTAACCACTGTAATTATTATTTTATCCTTTCCCATACAAAGTTTTTAACTTGCTAGTGGGTGGGGTAGAATAGAATGATATTTTTCAAGGATTTCAAAGGTCACTTGTAAATTAATTAGGGAAAATTTAGCAGTTAATATTTTTTTTCACAGTTAAATTATATAGATGCCCTTAAAGCAATATATATATATATATGAAAGACTAAGAGGGCTTTTGCGTAATTTCATATTTGCACAGTTTACAATTTACTTCATTGTCTTCAAAGTAAAACAAACAATAAAGGATAAGTCAAAAAATATTTTAGTCTTTCATATATATATATATATATACACATATATATATATATATGAAAGACTAAGAGGGCTTTTGCGTAATTTCATATTTGCACAGTTTACAATTTACTTCATTGTCTTCAAAGTAAAACAAACAATAAAGGATAAGTCAAAAAAATATTTTAGTATTTTTCTTATGGGTTTTTTGTTATACTTTATTTAGGTTAGGAGCAAATTAATATTTTCAAAAAAGAAAGAAAGAAAGAAAGAAAGAAGCGCCAATGAATGCCAATAAATGAGAGGTTTTTACCGTTATATATTTTGGTAAACATGGCTTCCACTACATGGCTTTGCTAGCAATCTGAAGGCCACATATGAAGGTGGTAGATTATTCACAAATTTGGAAAACAAGGATCATTTTTAATTTATTGGAACTTTTGGCCCAAATGATGAGCATCCATTGAACTCTTCTCCTTATCAGGATTCTTGCCAAAATAGTCTCTCACTTCATGGGGTGCCACTTTCCCCCTTCAGGACATGAACCCTACAATATCAAGGAGAAGCACACAGGACTTAACTAACCTCCTATTATATCCATCTTCAACAAACTCTCTCTCCCTCTGGTACACCAACCGTTAGTGGAGCAACATTATGTCCTTAAACTAGCTAGAAGCAATAAAAGGACACCATTCTGCTCCTTTTCTTCAACAACACTCTGATATCAATCATTACCGATGAAAATGAAAGCATTAGTTGTCTTCAGATCCAAGCTTTTCAGGTCATGCAAGAAACTACTAATACTCTTCAGATTCAAGCTCAAAAGACCCGTCTTTATAAGAGATCTTCGACTTCATCGTCGTAGGAAAAAACCCAGAAAAGCTCCTCAAAAGAGTCGAGTTTTTAATTTTTTTCGTTCTTTTAGGAAGTCGAGAAAGATGGACAGAGTTGCAGAACTTAGGAGCGTCTCCGAAGCAGAGCGTGAGAGAATGCTTTATCCATCTCCTCTTACACCAGCTTATATCAAGGCCAGTTTGGCCACAAAAAGGCAGACCTTTGGTGATGAAGATGTAGAAGATGCATGCAGAAGTTTCGAGAACTATTTGGTGGAGATGATGGTTGAAGAGGGAAAAGTCAGGGATTTAGCGGATGTGGAAGAGCTTCTGTATTGCTGGAAAAACCTCAAGTGTCCTGTCTTCATTGGTTTGGTCTGCAGATTCTACGGAGAGCTATGCAAGGACTTGTTCTCTCCTGATGTTGACACCACCGACGTTGATAGTCCCAAATGTCCCAAATGATTCTGCGACTAGTATTGCTTCCTCCTTTGCAGCTGCGGAGACAATCCCTGTCCTCTCCGCAATCCCTCTTCTGGATTCTCTGTTGACTCTTTGTAATGCTAGTAGATAATGAAAGGAATAAATCCCATTGTTGTATATCGTTTTCTCTTAGTGTTAGGAGGCAAATCAAGCAAAGGGAGAGAGTGGTGAAAATTCGACGATGCTACCAAAGAAATGGAAAGCACACGTTTCGTACTAATTACAAGATTAGTCATTAACTGATCTTTGGTTTCCTTCTCATTGATTAAGTACAACATTGAAAAAACACTAGGAAAATTGAGAAATAGAGCTTTATGCACCTCTATGTTAGTAAGATAACAGACCAAATATACTATCTAAACTCTAATGTCCATTCAGTTCATAATAGGCAATAAGGAAACTACCGAGTATGATGGCATCACTAAGCAGAGATGTTAGCATTATCAAGTAGATATCTATTTACAGTTCAAGAAGAAGCATTCAACAATGTTCTTGCAGCTTGCAGCATATGTAGATATATCAAAAACAACTGAGAAGAAGTACAGGCACCGAGATTCTGGGCTATAATCCCACCACATTTCACTAGCTATAATATTCTCAACTAACTTAACCTAAATATTGATATCAAAAAAACAAAAAACATGATTAGCTTTGGAAAGTTACCCGCCAGGAAGTCGCAGCATCTCATTCTATTGTGTTCCGGCAGCCCGTTTCGTTTCTGAAAGATAAACCCGAGACTTCACAAATGTGCTTCCAATTCTGAACCCAGGCATGACCATAAACTCAACTTTGAAGCTAGATTGTCCTCCCTCGGACAGAATCACACCTTCCGTGTTCTCTTGAACAGGTTCCATATAAACATCTGAGAATCTGCTTCCCTTATGGACAGAAAATATTTGTGCACTGGGATCAATTGAAGCCGCGATTCCTTGAAGAATCCAAATCCACTTTGCCATTCTTGCAAATATTTGATAGAATGGAGTCCTTGGATGCTTTCCAGTCAATATGAACATCCTCTGGTCTAAATTCCGAAAGAAAGACATCTCCATCATGGGATGAACAACAAGCATGTACTTTTCCCCACAGAAATTGGCAAATCCTGGATTTGGATTAGCTATCAGAGAATCAATAGGATCATCAAACCGTAAAATATCATCCACATCATAGGATCTAAGTGTCATCCCATTAAACATTCTTCGTGCAATGTAGGCTTCAAATGCGTACTTCTTATCTGATCTTTTAGCATAAAGAACCCCATGTTCAATCGAATTCGCTGCCAGGTGCAAGTCCCAACCTGAAGCTTGCATCAAGCTAATTATTGGCCTCGCAAAGTCATGAATGGCCTTCGAAGCTCGTTTGAACGTATCCTCAAACATGGCAACATTCAAAATCGTCACATTCCTTCTCTCCAAACTTTTCTCCCTAATCTTCTCAACCAATACTGCATTCCCCGCATCCAAATCAAGGAGTTCTTGTCGCAGGCGTACAATCTCAGCATCTTTATCTCTATCTTGTGACTTCAGTTTCTCTAAAAGCTTCTCGATAACATCAATTTCTGATCGCAGAGAGGCAAACCTTGAGGAGTCGAGCTTGGTTTTTGAAAATTGTTTCTCCTTAAATGCCTTCTTGGACTTGCAAAGTGCTTCAAGCTGAACCACGACAAGTTCATCAGCAGACACAATCTTATCCGGATCATAGGGAATATGTGCTTCCTGAAGCTGAACATAAGCTAATTTCAAGGCAGAAACCGTGTCAAACAACTCTACAATATCCTTGTCACCATACATGTTGCTTTTGCTTGGAACTACAACAGGTTGAGGATGGATTTTCTCGCCATCAAATTCTGTTTCCTCTGTGGCATCACTACTATCTTCACCCATCGATGAGCCATCATTGTTGCCAATGAGGTTGTGTTGATAGTGGTGGTCATTGGAGAAGACACCAATGGATCTCAATTTGCAAACTTTTGCAAATTTGGATACCATTTCAGATATATTTGAAGAGGGTTTAGAGAGTTTGTTGGTAACATGCTCCATTCCTCAAGGAAGCTAAAACCCCAAAGTAAATCAGATCTACTAATGATGAAGATTAATGGGATTTAACAACTTTCCCAGACACTAATCCCCCAAACTAAACTAAATCACAAAAATGGAGTCTTTCAACGCATATCAACCACCAACATGAACCAGGATTCCTGGTCAAATGCCATAAACCCTGGCATTATAGTAGCTAGAACCATCCAAATATTAAAGAAATGAAATGGGGTTTTAATGCTTGATTAAACAAATATTAACAACTAAGATTAGTGCTTAAAAGAAAGTGAAAAGATTCAAACTTAATCAAATCACTACCTGTCTTCTATTCAAACCCAAATCAAAGACGTTCAAGAGCAACAAGCTATGATCAAGATCATCAAAGAACAGTCCAAGATTTAAACTTTGAGCTCAAAAGAAGCACCTTCTAACATCAAAAACACACAAAACAAAACAGAAAACTGAAGTTGCTGACGCTATAGCTAGCTATCCTGGTGTCTTTGTCTCTGATCTTAAAAAGAAAAAAAAAGGTGATGGGATTCAAAGTAAATGCATCGTGAGGAGTGCTGAAAATGGCATTTACTCAAATGCAATGCAGTGTTTGTTTTGGAAGGAGAGAAAGAAAGACAGAGTCTTTATTTTGGCTTCGTCATCTGTGAACGTGAGGGTTTCAACTTTCAAATATTTTTCTGTATATTTTTGGGGAAATGGAGCAGAAACCTGTTCACCTCCCGCAGAGTTTCCAGTGTTTGAATTCTTTAACACACCGTCTTTGTTCCATGATCATACGAGTGAAATGGAGGGAGGTTTTGGCTACTACAAATCGGTCCTCCAACTATGTTGTCTATTTTAAAGAGGTACTCAAACTAACTATTACTGCGGTTTTACCATCCAACTAGCACGTTGTTCTTTGCAAGTTCGAGTCAAGTTTGAGATAAAGCTTAGTCTTTTTCAATCCATTTAGAGCCTTTTAAACGGAACAAAAATGTTTTTTCAAAAGAAATTTGGTTATTTTTCATTAAAATTAACAAATGAAATTGTTATTTACGTCCTTAAAAAATCCGATTGGGAATATGATAGCACATGTTTTTTAATACTTTCAAAATTATTTTTTATTTAAAAATAAATTAAAATTTTTTGTTTCTAGAATTTTTTTATTTTTAACATCAAAATATCAAAATAATAAAAAAACAAAAGAAAACATCAATTTAAGTTTTTTAGGCAAACATTCTTTTAAAAATTATTTAAAAATAAAAACTAATGCATTATCAAACATACATTTTTAATTAGAAGTATAATAAATCTTAATGAACATTTATCGTACAATTAAATACTAAAGGAAGTAAGAATACCATGGCTAGGTTGGGCCACCGACGGCAATCCAACCCCTGATCAGGTCTAATTAATTGAGAGTGTCTATACTTTAGGGACTGATTTAAAATAACCACCAGAATTAGAGACCTAATATGTAGTTAGCCCAAGGAAGAAACAGCCGTGAGACAATTACGTTACCAAACCAAAGAAGGTACTTGCTGTTAAAAGGCTAATAATAACTATTAACCGCACGCTTGTTTCTTTTCCTGCTTGGATTTTTTCTTCTTCTAAATACTCTGCGTCAGAAGTTTTAAGCATCCCAAGAGAAAACAATATAATTATCAGACTCAATCGTAGCCATTGAAGTGCTGCAGGAGAGGTGTAGGGTAGTGTACCTCTCTGTCTCCATGCAGCTGTGAAGGGACATCTGAAGAAATTGCAAGAAATGGCCCAAATGGGTTTTGTATTAGGCAGATGCAAGTCTCGTGGGAGAACTCCAGCCCGTTTGGCTAAGTCCTGCTATGCAACCTTGATGCCTTTTTCTTATAAAACGCAGTTTGCACCCAAACAAACAAGGCCTTAGAGTGTGTTTGTATTTGCTCTAAAAAAATTATTTTTTAAAAAGTTAATTGAGTTACAATTAACTTCTTACATGCGTATGATATATGTTAGAAGGTTTATATAAAAACATAGCCTAAACAACATTAATATTAATGTTAAAAGTTAAGAATTCGTTCTGATACCATATTAGAATTTTACAAGAGTTTAGAAGGAGGCATTGAAGGAAATTTACAGCTTTATAACTACAATTTTTATGCTGCCAATCTGTAGCTGTTGTTGCCAATTATTAAGGCAGCTCCTTCTACTACTTGTTTATCGTGTTGTCTGTTGCCTTCGCTCTCTCTCTCTCTCTCTCTCTCTCTAAATACCCAGAACCAAGGGACAGACCTTTTCATTTCCAGGCACAATTTCTACCAAGAATCTGCCATAGTTTATGCCACTAACATGTTGATTTCTGTCACATTGCTGCCATTAATCCTACCATTAACAAATAATATTAATTGTGATGGTTATTCAAAATACAGTATTGATATTCTGCATACCGCGTTGCTCTTGTACATGCGATTGCAGGGCTAGAAAAAGGATCATCATTAGCAAGTAAAAGCCATCAAGGGAAAACCTTCATCTCTGATCACATGAAACGAATATGATGGATATAAGCTTGAAGGAGACATGAAAATATAAATTAGAGACAAGAATTCAGAGCATGACATATAGTGACATTTATATAGTCCAAACTAGTAGCATATCAAAGGATGGGAAGTGGGAACATTTTCCTACAATGCTCTCTTATGTCTTATTCCTTGCACAGTAGACAATTAACAACATTATTTTGTTAGCTAGCAAGTACATTACTATATATCCCTGTGAAACTATAATCTCAAATAGATTTCTTGACAAACAAATAGTGACTTGCATTGATTGTCTGTCTACCTAGGGTTTCATATATATATATATATGTATATATATATATATATAGTTAAAATGTTAAGACGTAAATATTTATTAAAGGTCATGAGTAGTTGGCCATACACAATATTTTTTTTCCAGAATAAAACCTTTTGGGAAATGGAAAAATAAAAGGAATTATAGTTGTTCTTTACTAGCTAGATGGTCTAGTCTCTAATTTATCATTAATAATAATTAGGTTTTTTAAATCAACATTTGCATGCTAATCAAGGACGAAACTAGAGGGTGGCCAGGGAATAAAGCTCTGACCTCTCCAAAATTTTCAGAAGTTCCAAAATTCCCCTTGAACTTGTTAATTGATTTTTGGCAACCATTGCAAAATATTTCTTTCAAATAAAAACTATATATTCCACATTTTATAATTCTGGCCTCTTCCCTAACGTCATTATTGAATTTTCGTTTCCTATTAATTAATCAGATTCTAGATAGGCTATTCATGTTTAAATTATATATTTATGAAAAATAAATTTTTACCACCCTCCCTTTAAATTTGCTTCTGGAATAAAATAATAATAACATTACAACTCAAGTCAAAACTTCAGAAATTTAATTAATTTCCAGAATTTTGCACATGTAGAAACTAAAGATGGACCACTATATCTATTACAGGTCTTAGGGAAATCTTTTCTCGTATTTTTTTTATGAGCTCTCTTCTGTTTTGTACTGCATTTCAAGAATATATATGGTTTTCCCTGGACATGTTTTCCAAGATCACTGTCACTACCAATGGCTTTGTCGATGGAGAAAGAATTTTTACAGGCCTTCAGTTTGTGGACCCAAGAAATTTCCAAATTTATCACCATCAACAATATATATCAGCTTTATTCAAGTTAAATAATGGAGATGGGTGTGTCAGGATGGATAATTGCCTTCACATGTCACCCTCACATTTCCCATTTATATGACTATATATCAAACCCCAGGCTTTAGTGGGGAACGGTCAATTTGGGTTTTGAAACACTTATGATGTATTTTTGAGAATTTATATGCATGGGCCATAGGACCTCATGCATTCCCTTGAGTTCTTGAGCAAAACATATTATATCTGAATTTGAATTTAAAAATATATTAATTTATAAAAAAAAGAAATGTTCAAGAATGGATCTAGGGATATTGTCTCGTCTCCTCGTACTTCCAAAATCTTTCTTCATCTTGTTAATTAGTTTTTGAAGATATCTTTACACTTTGATTTCAAGCAATTTTGAAATCGTCGTCCCAAGTAATTAATTATTTAAAATCTAAGATGGGAGAAATTTAACTTTAGTGCATGAAAATTTGTCGAAGAATATCAGAACCATTAAAAAAAATAATCAACACTGCTTCAATCTTCATCATGCATGGGGAACAAGAACCTAGGGGCATTGGAAAGGCATATTAGAGGCTTTAGAAGTGAACAAAAGCATAGGAACGAGTTATGAGTTAGAGTGCAAGTGCAAGAGAGACTTTTCTTTTGCTCCACATCATCCACATCCGCATCCGCATCTACTACACCCATGCACGCACGCACGCTTGCCACAACCTATTCATTGTTATGGACACGAAGGTCAGGAGAATAGAACATGGATTGTGATGTTTGTATGCATGTAGTTTATTGCCCCCTTTTGAGAGGAAAAAAAGACCTTATTAAATATGCTAGCTTCGCATAATTGATTACCCCTTTGACATATTTGCCATGTTTTTGGACTACATTTCTCAAACTCATAAGGAAACATTGAAACCATAGATTCCGACCCATGTATTAGTGTAGATAAGGGCTAACATGTTTTGGTTAATGGAAATTTATTATATTTGGTTAGTTTCGTACCATAGAAAATATCTTATTGAAAGCGTAAAGATAGAGATATAAAATAAATTTATCATTAATTAAGTTTTGAAATGAATTTATGTTCTTTTAAAATATTACTAGAAAATTGACAAATACAAATAAAAAAACTAATGAAATTTTTTTGTTAGTATATTGCGATGAACTTTATTGATAAAATAATTCTTCGTTGTATATATCAGTAAACACCAAGGTAAATATTTTCTTGATATTACCGAGGGAATTATCATGAGAAAAGAAAGAATGAAAAAGAAAATCAAGAAGTACGATAACATGTTATTTTTACAAACAAACTTTCTAATGGCTTTAAATCTATCAATTAAATCCATCCGAGACTTAATTATGGTGGTACTCATGGTTTACAACTTGTCATTAGAAATATGTATGATATTGGAGTTTATATTTTTATCTACAGTGATACCCTGTCCTGATAGTACGAGTATGAATATAGATATTTGTCTTCGATCGTTGATTAATGAGTTGAAACAATTGTAATTGTTCAGGAATTTAACATACGATGTCTTGAAAAAAATATAATTTCAAATGAAGATAAGACATTCACCTTAATAAATAATGGATTATTAATAATTTTCTTTTGTATAGGATGGTTTCTAGTTAGATTATAAATGAAAAACTATTATATTTATATTGTATGAAAAATAATAAAATTTTCACTTTAATAAATAATAATAAATGTTTTTCAATAAAATCAATGTCTAAATACTAAGGAAATAATAATCCATTGATAATATGTAAAATAATGATAGAATGTTACTTTATGATGTGTGAAAACGTGTGGTTATGGAATTTATTGGAAAATTAATGAGGACCCTGACATTATGCTAGGAGTACTAGAAATGGTATTAGAGTGTGACTCTCGATATTGTTCAACTTCAAATTTGAAGGGGATAGCGAAAAAGAAAAGAAAGGGAAATTAAGGAGGGGAATTTGGGGCGTTTAATTAGAATATTAGAAAAGTTCGTACTTTTTTAGAAAGAGAAAGGGAAGAATTGAAAGATCATTAGGACCATGGGAGTACACTCCTTGGAATTTAGTCCATCACAAAGCGACCATTTATGGACAACT